TGTTTTATACTCCGATTTAGTTTTAATTTCATACTGAGCTACACCTGACTTGAAGAATGAGACACATGTGTAACATTTGGGAATCCTTAACTGGCAACGTTTCGCCATCCAGGGGTTTCTTTAGTTCTTCACTGTATTGGACTGAAGAAGTCACTGGCTGGAGAAACGTTTCCTCAGTAAGGATTCCCAGTTGTTGTACAAGTGTCTCATTCTTCAACTTGTCTGTTTTCTAAACTATTACATTGTCACTGACTTGTAAACAGCTGGTTAATTAACAGTGGTGGAGGTTAGTTACGACTGCGACTCTTCACCAACCTAAACCACTTTTGTTATTTTGTTTTTTCAGTGAAGACAATGGTGGTTCACTGACCAGGACCTGTGTATTTATTACAGTCACTGTTGAAGGACCTGTGTATTTATTACAGTCACTGTTGAAGGATCTGTGTATCTATTACATTCACTGTTGAAGGACCTGTGTATCTATTACAGTCACTGTTGAAGGATCTGTGTATCTATTACATTCACTGTTGAAGGACCTGTGTATCTATTACAGTCACTGTTGAAGGACCTGTGTATCTATTACAGTCACTGTTGAAGGACCTGTGTATTTATTACAGTCACTGTTGAAGGATCTGTGTATCTATTACATTCACTGTTGAAGGACCTGTGTATCTATTACAGTCACTGTTGAAGGATCTGTGTATCTATTACAGTCACTGTTGAAGGACCTGTGTATCTATTACAGTCACTGCTGAAGGACCTGTGTATCTATTACAGTCACTGTTGAAGGATCTGTGTATCTATTACAGTCACTGTTGAAGGACCTGTGTATCTATTACAGTCACTGCTGAAGGACCTGTGTATCTATTACAGTCACTGTTGAAGGACCTGTGTATCTATTACAGTCACTGTTGAATGACCTGTGTATCTATTACAGTCACTGTTGAAGGATCTGTGTATCTATTACAGTCACTGTTGAAGGACCTGTGTATCTATTACAGTCACTGTTGAATGACCTGTGTATCTATTACAGTCACTGTTGAAGGATCTGTGTATCTATTACAGTCACTGTTGAAGGATCTGTGTATCTATTACAGTCACTGTTGAAGGACCTGTGTATCTATTACAGTCACTGTTGAAGGACCTGTGTATCTATTACAGTCACTGTTGAAGGACCTGTGTATCTATTACATATATAGCCACACGTGTAAACCCAATTCCTACACTGTCGTTTCTGAACACAGTCTCTGAGTCTTGGTCATCTGAACACTGTGTTCCGTGTGGACTTCTGCTGTCATGTTCGTTTTTTAACTTAGGTTCTGTTGGCTATGTCCCTCGTTATCCGTAGCCTCAGAAAATGTCCATTGTCTTGCGTAAATTCTATGTCTAGCTCGGACTTGGACTCATTTAACTCCATTGTGGTCTTTGCCTTAGGGAGGACGGTTCACCTCTGTCTTGTTGAAAGTATTCATAACACGCCTTCACTCACACTGACATATTTTGCACTACTGTTGTCTTGTGTGTACATAGTCTCAGTCTGGTGATGGTGTCTACACAGTCTTGTGTGCACATAATTTCTGACTGGCGTTGGTGTTTAGATAGAATTGTGTGTACGTAGTCTCTGTCTGGTGTTCGTGTATACAGAGGCTCATGTGTACATAATCTTTGTCTAGTGATGGAGTCTACACAGTCTTGTGTGTACATAGCCTCTGACTGGTGCTGATGTTTAGACAGGCTTGTGTGTACGTAGTCTCTGTCTGGTGTTGGTGTATACATAGGCTTGTGTGAACATAGTCTTTGTCTGGTGATGGAGTCTACAGTCACGTGTGTACACAGCCTCTGACTGCTTCACATATATGCTCAGTCTGGACTCTGGGTTGTATGTTAATTATTTACACAACTTTATACTTATGTGGGAAACAGCGTTTTGTGTCATGTTTATATCTAAAAGTCTAGTCTCGTCCTGGTCCACCAGTGTGGTCTTGAAGACCGAGTGTATATATCTCAGTGTTGCTGGTCCACCAGTGTGGTCTTGAAGACCAGGTGTGTGTTCCTCAGTGTTACTGGTCCACCAGTGTGGTCTTGAAGACCAGGTGTGTGTACCTCAGTGTTACTGGTCCACCAGTGTGGTCTTGAAGACCAGGTGTGTGTACATCAGTGTTGCTGGTCCACCACTCTGGTCTTGAAGATCAGGTGTATATATCTCAGTGTTGCTGGTCCACGAGTGTGATCTTGAAGACCGGGTGTACATATCTCAGCGTTGCTGGTCCACCAGCGTGGTCTTGAAGACCGAGTGTATATATCTCAGTGTTGCTGGTCCACCAGCGTGGTCTTGAAGACCAGGTGTGTGTCTCAGTGTTGCTGGTCCACCAGTGTGGTCTTGAAGACCAGGTGTGTGTATCTCAGTGTTTCTCGTCCACCAGTTTGGTCTTGAAGACCAGGTGTGTATATCTCAGTGTTGCTGGCCCACCAGTGTGGTCTTGAAGAATTGAGACACTTATGCAACACATGGGAATCTTTATTGAAGAAACGTTTCGCAACACAGTGGCTTCATCAGTCCATTACAAAGTAGAAATGGGTAAGGAGAGTAGAAGTTTGAGGTAATCAGTCCCTCAACCTGGAATCGATGTGTTCAGTCCATCACTCTTGTAGGAAGTGCAGCATAGGGCCAGAGAGGTGGCTTATATACTGCGGTGAGATGAGTTGAAGCAGGATGAGGTGAGATCACAGTGGGACCTGCCACTAGTGTAAGTAGGTCGTCGTCCAAAGGTTGGGCAAGCGTTGAAGTCTTTGTACCAAGATTCCATGATGTTGCAGTGTCTGACAGATGTGATGAATGGTTTAGAAAACCGACAAGTTAAATAATTCATCACATCTGTCAGACACTGCAACATCATGGAATCTTGGTACAAAGACTTCAACGCTTGCCCAACCTTTGGACGACGACCTACTTACACTAGTGGCAGGTCCCACTGTGATCTCACCTCATCCTGCTTCAACTCATCTCACCGCAGTATATAAGCCACCTCTCTGGCCCTATGCTGCACTTCCTACAAGAGTGATGGACTGAACACATCGATTCCAGGTTGAGGGACTGATTACCTCAAACTTCTACTCTCCTTACCCATTTCTACTTTGTAATGGACTGATGAAGCCACTGTGTGGCGAAACGTTTCTTCAATAAAGATTCCCATGTGTTGCATGTCTCAATTCTTCAACTTGTCGGTTTTCTAAACCATTCATCACAGTGTGGTCTTGAGGACCAGGTGTGTGTATCTCAGTGTTGCTGTCCACCAGTGCGGTCTTGAAGACCAGGTGTGTGTAACTCAGTGTTGCCGGTTCACCCGCGTGGTCTTGAGGACCAGGTGTGTGTATCTTAGCGTTGCTCGTCGACCAGTTTGGTCTTGAAGATCAGGTGTGTGTATCTCAGTGTTGCTGGTCCACCAGTGTGGTTTTGATGACCAGGTGTATGTCAGTGTTGCTGATACACCAGTGTGGTCTTGAAGACCAGGTGTGTGTATCTCAGTGTCGCTGCTCCACTAGTGTGGTCTTGAAGACCAGGTGCGTGTATCTCAGTATTGCTGGTCCACCAGTGTGGTCTTGAAGACCAGGTGCGTGTATCTCAGTATTGCTGGTCCACCAGTGTGGTCTTGAAGACCAGGTGCGTGTATCTCAGTATTGCTGGTCCACCAGTGTGGTCTTGAAGGCCAGGTGCGTGTATCTCAGTATTGCTGGTCCACCAGTGTGGTCTGAAGACCAGGTGCGTGTATCTCAGTATTGCTGGTCCACCAGTGTGGTCTTGAAGACCAGGTGCGTGTATCTCAGTATTGCTGGTCCACCAGTGTGGTCTTGAAGACCAGGTGCGTGTATCTCAGTATTGCTGGTCCACCAGTGTGGTCTTGAAGACCAGGTGCGTGTATCTCAGTATTGCTGGTCCACCAGTGTGGTCTTGAAGACCAGGTGCGTGTATCTCAGTATTGCTGGTCCACCAGTGTGGTCTTGAAGACCAGGTGCGTGTATCTCAGTATTGCTGGTCCACCAGTGTGGTCTTGAAGACCAGGTGCGTGTATCTCAGTATTGCTGGTCCACCAGTGTGGTCTTGAAGACCAGGTGCGTGTATCTCAGTATTGCTGGTCCACCAGTGTGGTCTTGAAGACCAGGTGCGTGTATCTCAGTATTGCTGGTCCACCAGTGTGGTCTTGAAGACCAGGTGCGTGTATCTCAGTATTGCTGGTCCACCAGTGTGGTCTTGAAGACCAGGTGCGTGTATCTCAGTATTGCTGGTCCACCAGTGTGGTCTTGAAGACCAGGTGCGTGTATCTCAGTATTGCTGGTCCACCAGTGTGGTCTTGAAGACCAGGTGCGTGTATCTCAGTATTGCTGGTCCACCAGTGTGGTCTTGAAAACAAGGTGTGTGTATCTCAGCGTTTTTTATCAACCATTGTGGTCTTGAAGACCAGGTGTTTGTAACTCAGTAAAAAATAAACAAAGACCCTCTTTCTAAAGGCCTCGACCCCTTTGAGTTTAGCGCTTCACCATGATTTTAACAATAATGAGTCGTGATACAAGGTTGATGAGTCAGCTGTACTAACAGTGTACTCACTTATTTGCATTCACTCGTGGTTGTAGGAGTCGAGTCTCAGCTCTTGGCCCTGTCTCTCCTCTAGCCACTCTTGGTTTCACTCTTGGGTGCCTAAGCAACTCCCGTACCTCTTCTTAAAACTATGTACGGATCCCTCCTCAAAGGCTAAGGAAGTATTTCGTGACATCCCTGTGACTCGTCTGGGTTTTCAACTTCCAGCTGTGACCTCGTGTACCTGAGATCAGCCTCTCAAACACACTCATCCTGCCCACCCTGTTAATTCCTTTCAGTATTTTATACGTCGAAGTCATGTCTCCCCTGGTCGGGTTTGCCTCTTACTACGTAAGGTTTTCAGCTCTATTTGTATCACGTACACATATTTTTTTTTTTTGGGGGGAAGGGGTAATAATATACATGGTATTATTTCAAACTTTAATAATTTAAGAAAAACTTAACCTGTGAAAATTTTGGTTTACATAAACTAGAAAGAATTTAAATGAAAAATTCAGTAGAAGGAATTATAATTCCCGGCGGACAATGTTAACTGAGGGACAGATCTAAGTTTTAGTCATGAAATTTTGGTGACTTATTGATGCTGATGAACGTTACTGGAGTCATCATGGTGACTCACTGACGTGACGACACTGTTGATGTCATCACAGTGACTGACGTCGACTTCACAGCCACGGACGGTTTAGGGCATCAGTCCCCGCCTCACCTCTACCTCAACCTGTGTAAAAAATACTTGGAATTAATCACAATGCTTGCAATTTATTATGTAATATATATATATATATATATATATATCGTTGTATGGAAGCGCTAAGTACGTAGAGGATCACACAGCGCCTGGAGAATGAAAGATAATCAGGAGTAGTCCAGATATGTGGAGGGTAGCTCCAATTCCTTGGATGAAGAGCCCTTTCCACAGCACCAACTTGAAAATTTAGAATACAACAGAACATTGCTTAAAAACATTAAAGCCAATTAAATATTTGTCGCCAATTAATGATAAAAAGTCAAAATTAAAGTCAACTTATAACCATGGTGACAGGAATCACGAGTGTGAATATATATTGTAATTTTTTAATAATTGACATTAGGATACGTGTAAATTGTGGTTTGAGTATCATTAGAATGAATCATATTCATCATGTGGAAAACATGAGGACACACTGCACTGCCACTTCTTCATTACAATTATTTAATGGTTCGTGATTCCTAGTCTGTGTCATGTCACAATGTGTGTTTAAAGCATTTACAGATGACAGATGACGTAGTACAGTGAAGGTTGGACGGCTGGACAGGGTAGTATTAAAATATAATGAATCTGAGACGAGGAAGGAATGGTCATGGTTGTTCTTTGCTGATGACACAGTGTTTGTGAATGATTTAGGAAAGAAATTGACGAAATAGATAGTGAGAATTGGGCACCAGATTGAAAGGAAGGAGAAAGGAGGAGATAAGTGGAAGAATTCATGTTGGTAAATGGTTAATGACAAATGAAGTGAATCGCAAACAGACACTATAAGCAAGAAAGCAGCAGAAGTGTTCAGAAGTCTTTGGGAAGAAAATAATTTGAAATAAATGTGAAAAATAACGAACCATGTTTTTAAGTAGTTACCTTTGTCATCACTGTTGTCATATTAGCCTTGATGCTGGATTCCTCCACCATTGAATCCTCCACTGGGACCGTCAATTTGGATTCCATGACCACCAGCTCCTGGACGAGATGGTAATTTCTGGATTCCTCCACCATTAAATCCTCCACTGGGACCGTCAATCTGGATTCCTCCACCATTAGCACCAGGACGGGAATGGACGTCCTGAATTCCTCCACCATTAGCACCAGGATGGGAATGGACGTCCTGGATTCCTCCACCATTAGCACCAGGACGAGAATGGACGTCCTGGATTCCTCCACCACCAAAGCCTCCACTTGGGCCGTCAATACGGATTCCATGACCATCCTGGCCAGGACGAATGCGGCCAGCGCTGGCAACGGCGGCCAACACAGGCACGATCACCAGGATGATAAAGGCGCGACACTCCTGCAAGGATCAGTGTGGAGAAATGTTTAGTGGGAAGTAGACTCGTGTAAATATAAAAATGATTTCCAAAGAGTATACAGTAGACGAGTTGAAAACGCAAAATATATAAGGCATATCACAGTTTATACCTTCAAGACCACACTAGCCCTGGTCGTCATGTCCACACCAGAGGTCCATAGAGTATGGCTTACTCATTAAAATATTCTTGATGGATGCTGGTTTCTGGGCGGAGTGTGGCTATAAATTCTTATTGACTATCGAGGGACAGTCTACCAGTAAAGCAAATTTTGTACAAGCGTTGCATTTTGCTTGGCATCTCTTGTTTACGAAGGTTCTTACGACAGGCCAGATAACACGAATCCTCAAAACAAGAGATATGACTAGCTAGTGATGATGCTCTTGTACTCTCTAGACTGGACAATTACTGTACCCTAACAACGCCATTTAAGGCCAGTGGATTATAGGTTTAATAAATGTATATAGAAATTTTACTGCCTGTATAAATTCAGAGACATAAATTTCTGCGAACACATCAACTCTTGTATTCATTGGAGCGTAGACGAGAAAATGGCATCATAATTTCAGGTATACAGAAGTAAGATTAGGGACAAGGTTGGCCCACTTAAGAGTAACTCTGGTCAGATCACTGACAGTGATAAGGATATGTGTGAAATTCTCAATACCTACTTCCTCTCAGTTTTCACCTAGGAAAATACTAGCGATATTCTTGAAATAATAGATTATGTAGAACAGGATGATAAACTATGCACGATTGCGGTAACTAGTGACATGGTCCTCAGACAAATAGAGAAACTAAAACCTAACAAATGCCCAGGTCCTGATGAACTGTTTGCAAGGGTGTTAAAGGAATGTAAAGAGGAATTTAGCATACCTTTGGCTAATCTTTTTAACATATCACTACAAACTGGCATAGTTCCTGATAAGTGGAAAATGGCAAATGTAATTCCTATTTACAAGGCAGGTGACAGGTCCTTGGCTTCGAACTATAGACCAATAAGCCTTACCTCCATAGTGGGAAAATTTATGGAATCAATAATTGCCGAAACAATTCGTAGCCATCTTGATAGGCACAGATTGATTAATGAATCTCAACACGGTTTTACAAAGGGCGTTCCTGTCTTACGAATTTACTAACTTTTTTCACTAAGGTGTTTGAGGAGGTAGATCATGGTAATGAATATGATATTGTGTATATGGACTTCAGTAAGGCTTTCGATAGAGCTCCACACTAGAGGCTATTGAGGAAACTTAAGGCACACGGAATAGGAGGAGAAATTTTTTCCTGGGTAAAGGCATGGCTGACAAATAGGCAGCAGAGAGTTTGCATAAATGGGGAGAAATCAGAATGGGGGCACGTCACAAGCGGTGTTCCTCAGGGGTCAGTGCTTTGCCCGTTGTTGTTCACAATTTACATAAACGACAGAGATGAGGGAATAAATAGCGACATAAGCAAATTTGCTGATGACACCAAAATAGGCCATCCATTTCATTCTAATGAGGACACTAGAGCACTCCAGGATGATTTGAATAGACTGATGCAATGGTCGGAGAAGTGGCAGATGCAGTTTAATATTGACAAATGCAAAGTTCTAAATGTTGGACAGGTAAATAACCATGCCACATATAAACTAAATAATGTAGATCTTAATACTAATGACTGCGAAAAGGATTTAGGAGTTCTGGTTAGCAGCAATCTAAAACCAAGACAACAGTGTTCGCAATAAAGCTAACAGAATTCTTGGCTTCATATCTAGAAGTATAAATAATAGAAGTCCTCAGGTTGTTCTTCAACTCTATACATCCTTGGTTAGGCCTCATTTAGACTGTGCTGCTCAGTTCTGGTCACCGTATTACAGAATGGATATAAATGTTCTGGAAAACGTACAGAGGAGGATGACAAAGATTGATCCCATGTAACAGAAATCTTCCATATGAGGATAGACTGAGGGCCCTGAATCTGCACTCTCTCGAAAGGCGTAGAATTGGGGGGGGGGGGGGGGGATATGATCGAGGTGTATAAATGGAAAACAGGAATAAATAAAGGGGATGTAAATAGCGTGCTGAAAATTTCCAAGACTCGCAGCAATGGTTTCAAGTTGGAAAAATTCAGATTCAGGAAGGATATAGGAAAGCACTGGTTTGGTAATAGAGTTGTGGATGAGTGGAACAAACTCCCGAGTACAGTTATATAGGCTAAAACATTGTGTAGTTTTAAAAATAGGTTAGATAAATACGTGAGTGGGTGTGGGTGGGTGTGAGTTGGACCTGACTAGCTTGTGCTGCTAGGTCTGGTGCCCTGCTCCTTCCTTGAGTGGAGGTGACCAGGCTGGGTGGGTCATTGGGCTAATAAGGGGGGGTTCATTGGGTTAATCCCGGGGGGGACATGGACCTGCTCCGCATAGGTCAGTAGGCCTGTTGCAGTGTTCCTTCTTTATGTTCTTATATTCTTATAATTTACACACTGAAGATACTGGAAGGACTGGTTACACATACTGGCACAGAAATTATTCCATACGAGTAGTTAGGAAGACTGTAGAAGAGAAGCAGCTTGCAACAAGCACGCCACGTCTACTAATATTTTAGTGGGTATAGTGTGCTTGTTGCAATCGTGCTTTACATTTTTTCTCTGCAAATTGTCAAAACTACCTTCCTCGTTATAGGTAATAGGCATAAAGGTGCTGGTTCACATTAGTCAATGTGAACCATTAGTCAGTGTAGATAAAGTGGTCACAAAAGCCACTTTATCTACGGGACAATGAACCAACATATCCAGGTACCATAGTGTCATCACTATCAAATTACTTTTCTTGTAATAGTGTGACGATCCGCATAAAAACTATCCTTAATTTTCTCTGAGTGCCAATTTTTTCCGCAAACTTTTCAAAGCTAACAGAAGAGAGAGAGGAAACTTGGAGTGAGAACACTTACCATTGCTGCAGAAGACCAGACAACTGGTTGATGGTTGCCTGCCTCTTTAATTTATAGTGGTGTTATGGGGTGGGTGGCGCGCGCACCACACAACTACACGTCACCTTGGTAAACACTGACAAGGGCAAAAAGGACTAATCGCTATGTACCTTCCTTGGAATTGTTGAATATTTACTCAGAGTTTCTATGAGGTTAACACGCCCACGCCCACCACACTAGATGCCCACCACACTAGACGCCCACCACACTAGACGCCCACCACACTAGACGCCCACCACACTAGACGCCCACCACACTAGACGCCCACCACACTAGACGCCCACCACACTAGACGCCTCCGTCTGCCACAGATGCGACCGTCCACCACAAACAGCCAAGACAGACACCTCCAGTCATCCTCTTAATTTCATCTTCTCTTATTAAACATATCATAGATGTGTTTAATAAGAGAGGACGTATCAAACACATCTTTAATGTATTTGATACTTATTTATATTTTATTCGCAGCAAAACACCTTGAGATATTACTGAGAAGACCTTAGCTCGCCTGCGTCAAGGCTACGACCCAGCAGCTGGAGCCTAACACAGGAGGAGACACGAGCATCATTCACCAGGTGAAAGTTTGTGTCAATAAATGTGTTTAGTCAATACTTTTACGTTTTGTTCTTCACTCTTTAAAAACAGTTTTCAAGGAAGGATCCTTGATGCTGGTGAAGGGCTTTTGATCCGAGGAATGGGGGCTAATCTTCTCTTCCTTGAATCGAACTTAATTTATCCCCCATTCCCCAAGGCGCTCTAGCGCCCTTACGGATTTACTACTTCCAAGAGAATTTATTTAATTAATAACAATTGCAACTAGATGTATTTCAGTAGTTGCAAGATCCCAGAAAAGTATCCCCGTATTGCACAACCCCAGCCCCCTCTACCTCAACGATCCCAGAAAAGTATCCCCGTATTGCATAACCCCAGCCCCCTCTACCTCAACGATCCCAGGAGGTATCCCTGTATTGCACAACCCCAGCCCCCTCTACCTCAACGATCCCAGGAGGTATCCCTGTATTGCACAACCCCAGCCCCCTCTATCTCAACGATCCCAGAAAGTATCCCTGTATTGCACAACCCCAGCCCCCTCTACCTCAACGATCCCAGAAAGTATCCCCGTATTGCACAACCCCAGCCCCCTCTACCTCAACGATCCCAGAAAGTATCCCTGTACTGCACAACCCCAGCCCCCTCTACCTCAACGATCCAAGGAGGTATCCCTGTATTGCACAACCCCAGCCCCCTCTACCTCAACGATCCCAGAAAAGTATCCCGTATTGCATAACCCCAGCCCCCTCTACCTCAACGATCCCAGAGGTATCCCTGTATTGCACAACCCCAGCCCCCTCTACCTCAACGATCCCAGGAGGTATCCCTGTATTGCACAACCCCAGCCCCCTCTACCTCAACGATCCAGAGGTATCCCTGTATTGCACAACCCCAGCCCCCTCTATCTCAACGATCCCAGAAAGTATCCCTGTATTGCACAACCCCAGCCCCCTCTACCTCAACGATCCCAGAAAGTATCCCTGTATTGCACAACCCCAGCCCCCTCTACCTCAACGATTCCAGGAGGTATCCCTGTATTGCACAACCCCATCCCCCTCTACCTCAGGTCATGTGGTTATAATAACGCAGACTACGAGATAAGTTTATAACGCAGTCAAATATTAGCGTTGAGGATTAAAAGAGAATCAATCGAGTCATTCACAAGTTATCACATGGAAATTAATACAACAGTTTCTTTAATAAAACTAAAAGCTTCAGATATGCGCAGCCCAAATCTAATACAAATTTTCCATGAAGAAACACCATCTTTGACGCTAAACTGAAGAGGTTTGCTCTTGTTATCTCAGAGACGAAAATCCTAAAATACACAAACAAGTCAAGTTTGAAGCCGAGCAGAAGTTGCATTATCAAGATGGAAGGAATGAAGCTAATCAGATACGACACTCAAAAATTATCGCGTACAAGTCAGGATTTAAATTTTTCAAGTGTCTTCCAAAAAGAGAAAACTGGGGATCTACACATGCCAAAATCATTCCAAAATTTAGCTTTTATTTACATTTGACTGACCTCTTCTTGATTTGATGAATTGTAGACCAGTAGTCTACACGAGGGCCATTAAGTCTACATGTCACCTCTACAACAGCACTCCTGGATACTGTAATACCAGAAATAGGAATTACAGTAAACTGTCAGTCTATATACACTGATATATGTGCATTTCTAAGTGTATATACACTTATAGACGTACGACTTTCCGGGTATATACACTGACAGATGTACGTCTCTCAGTGTATATACACTGACAGATGTACGTCTCTCAGTGTATATGCACTGACAGATGTACGTCTCTCAGTGCATATACACTTATAGATGTACGACTCTCAGTGTATATACACTGACAGATGTACGTCTCTCAGTGTATATACACTTATAGACGTACGACTTTCCGGGTATATACACTGACAGATGTGCGTCTCTCAGTGTATATACACTTATAGATGTACGACTCTCAGTGTATATACATTGACAGATGTACGTATGTCAGTATATACAAACTTGAGTGTTGTCTCTCCACTAAACATTCTTCGTTGACGTCTCTAAAAATAAAAAAAATATATTCAGAATATTAATGAAAAAATCTAAAAACACGTGATATATTACATCTGAAAAACTTCCAGAAAACTTTTTCAAGATCACAGAGACATTGAAAAATTAGAATAAACTTTATGAGGGGAATTTATTCATCGAGGTGAAGTAATTGGTCATTATTCTAAGAGACAGCACCTGTCCATTACTCTAAGATACAGCACCTGTCCATTACTCTAAGATACAGCACCTGTCCAGTACTCTAAGATACAGCACCTGTCCATTACTCTAAGATACAGCACCTGTCCATTAGTCTAAGATACAGCACCTGTCCATTACTCTAAGATACAGCACCTGTCCATTACTCTAAGATACAGCACCTGTCCATTACTCTAAGATACAGCACCTGTCCATTACTCTAAGATACAGCACCTGTCCATTATTCTAAGATACAGCACCTGTCCATTACTCTAAGATACAGCACCTGTCCATTACTCTAAGATACAGCACCTGTCCATTACTCTAAGATACAGCACCTGTCCATTATTCTAAGATACAGTATCTGGTCATTACTCTAAGAAACAGTACCTGGTCATTACTCTAAGATACATCACCTGCCCATTACTCTAAAATGCAGCACCTGTCCATTACTCTAAGATACAGTACCTGTCCATTACTCTAAGATACAGTACCTGGTCATTACTCTAAGATACAGCACCTGCCCGTTACTCTAAAATACAGCACCTATCCATTACTCTAAGATACAGCACCTGTCCATTACTCTAAGATACAGTACCTGGCCATTACTCTAAGATACAGTAGCTGGACATTACTCTAAGATAGAGTAGCTGGTCATTACAATAGTACATGCTCATTACTATAGGGTACCTGGTCAATATTCTAGGATACAGTCCTTGGTCATTACTTTAAGATTCAGTAGCTGGACATTACGAAACAGTACCTGGTCATTACGACACAGTACCTGGTCATTACGACACAGTACCTGGTCATTACTTTAGGGTACAGTCCTGGTCATTACTCTAAGATAAAGTAGCTAGTCATTACTCTAAGATAGAGTAGCTGGTCATTACACTAAGATACAGTAGCTGGTCATTACTCTAAGATACAGTAGCTGGTCATTACTCTAAGATACACTACCTGGACATTACTCTAAGATACAGTACCTGGCCATTACTTTAATATAGAGTACCTGGTCATTACTCAAAGATACAGTAACTGGTCATTACTCTAGGATACAATAACTTGTTATTACTCTAGAATACAGAAACTGGTCATTATTAAAATATTCAGTACCTTTTCATTACTCTAAGATACAGAATCTAGCCATTACTCAAAGATACAGTACCTGGTCATTACTCAAAGATGCAGTACTTGGTCATTACTATAAGATACAAAACCTGGCCATAACTCAAAGATAGAGTACCTGGTCATTACTCAAAGATACAGTACCTGGTCATTACTCAGAGACATATTACCTTGTCATTACTCTAAGATACAGTAACTGGTCATTACTCTAGGATACAATAGCTGGTTATTACTCTAGAATACAGTAACTAGTCATTATTAAAATATTCAGTACCTTTTCCTTACTCTAAGATACGGAACCTAGTCATTACTCTAAGATACTGTACCTGGTCATTACTCTAATATATAGTACCTGGTCATTACTCTAAAATATAGTACCGGGTCATTACTCAAAGATACAGTTCCTGGTCATTACTCAAAGATACAGTACCTAGTCATTACTCTAAGATACAGTACCTGGTCATCACTCTAAGATACAGTACTTGGTCATTACTCTAAGATAGAGTACCTGGTCATTACTCAAAGATACAGTACCTGGTCATTACTCTAAGATACAGTACCTGATCATTACCCTACGATACAGTACCTGGTCATTACTCTAAGATAGAGTACCTGGTCATTATTCTAAGATAGAGTACCTGGTCATTATTCTAAGATAGAGTACCTGGTCATTATTCTAAGATAGAGTACCTGGTCATTACTCTAAGATGCAGTACCTGGTCATTCCTTAAAGATACAGTACCTGGTCATTACTCTAAGATACAGTACCTAGTCATAACTCAAAGATACAATACCTGGTCATTACTCTAAGATACAGTACCTGGTCATTACTCAAAGACACAGTATCTGGTCATTACTCTAAGATACAGTACCTGGTCATTACTCTAAGATAGAGTACCTGGTCATTACTCAAAGATACAATACTTGGTCATTACTCAAAGATACAGTACCTGATCATTACTCAAAGATACGGTACCTGGTCATTACTCTAAGATACAGTACCTGGTCTTTACTCTAAGATACAGTACCTGGTAATTATTCTAAGACACAGTACTTGGTCATTACTCAAAGATACAGAACTTGGTCATTACTCAAAGATACAGAACTTGGTCATTACTCAAAGATACAGTACCTGGTCATTACTCTAAGATACATTACCTGGTCATTACTCTAAGATACAT